GGATCAGGGCGCCCAATTTCCCCGTAAGCAGGGCCTGCCCTTTGAAAACAGAGTAACCTCTCCGAACTGAGGGTTTTGCCTCAACTGTAGCCACAAAGGACCTTTACAGTTTGTCGGACAAAAACCTCTGAACAAAGTTAGCAATTTGTACCCAGAGCAGAACACACAGAAAATACGAAAAATTTATCTGAGTAATACATTTCCTAAAAAAGACAACTATGCCAGTTTTAACGACAGTTAACACATCATAAAAAAAAAGCAAAGTAACAATTAAAGGAAGACGGTTGTAAGTGAGTCAGTAGCAAATTTAGAAGAACGTTCAGAATGGTGTAACCTTACGGGTTTCAATCCATTTCTTGATAGCCGGAATTGAGCGGATCTTGTCGGAATGAGCCTTCACCTGGAAAATATCGAAAACTAACCGAAAGATCTTGTTCCATCATGATAGCTAATGTTCAACGCCACAGTATGCGCTCTGAAAGCTAGCACAAGAATGCTGGGTTATGGGCAAACGTCGTGAGAAGGAGTCAACACGGCTGTCACCTTCCTCTGTTCACTCCAAAAAATTTTCGTGAACAGCGGTCCTTTTGCGGATCAACTAACTCCAACTGGTCTGTAATTAGAACCCTAAAGGCATGCCACGAATTTACTTGAAGTTCCAGCGCCTTCTTGGGACATTACAGTATTGCCTGAAAGCATGGTCATGATGTACTCAACCGCAGCTCGGATATTCCTGAGGAAAGCCCCTGCCCGCTCGCAACGGTACCACAGCGTCACACACGCCACGCAAGGCCCAACTTTCATTGCTGAGTGTCACCTGATGGTGCGGTTGTTTCGCTACTAACTCTTTCCTTTTATGGTGAGAGTACGGTGATGAGGAGAAGGAGCTGGCGCCAGCAAGTTAGAACTCGTTCGACCACGCCCTTCCTTCGCCTTCTGCACGTATAGGCGCGGCGATACTATATGAGGCATTACGGGTGGGTTTTCAGTGTTTTTCTTCCGCTTTCATGTTATATGGAATCCTGTCGTTAGTATATGAGCCGCACAAATCACCATTTTTAAACGGAGGCCTTGTCTTCGAAAGCAAAACGAGTAAAAAGACGAGTCCATCCTTGAAACTGACAGAAAATAAGGGGTAATACAACCTCTCAATGTTACCCTTAGTCATTAAAATTGTATTACTGCTAGCACATTGAACGGCTTTTGAGATGTACGTTTATCCAAATCAGCAAAGAATTCCTACCATCCCACCCATTTCTCCATTGAAACTTCCAAATATAAAATTGTAAAGGATCACGTTTTTTGAAGACGATCGAGCCTGGAGGATACTCCCAAAATTGAGACAAGGTGAAGGTTGACGCTCATAAAGTAAAACCTTCTGAATGTGGGTCTACTCAGAAAATAATCGGTCACGCAACACAGACTCTTTACTGGTAGTAAGAACAGCAGGAATAACTTTGACTTCCCACCAGTGCGCAAAGAGAATGGACTCACCTCTGGATATCCATTGTAAAGTGTTGGGTATTTCTCGGTGAACGAGGCCAATTCAGCTAACTGCAAATCAGCCCATGTTACCGAATCTCCAACGAGAAATCCTGAAGTTCTGCGTAACAAAAAGGGCTCATTCACTTTCGGTCGAAGAAGATGACTCCACCGTTTTCATGAACCTAATCATTCACTGGATATAAAAATACTGACCTGATGAACTTTTCTTGAGGAATTTAGTCATGAGTGTGAAGTATTTGTCACGCGCCGGTATGAACACATCTTTTTCCAGTGCATTCTAGAATATGTCAATATTACTGTAGGAAGGAAAAAGTGGAACCCTTCATGAGAAAGCTCACGTTTGAACAGTAAAATTGAAAACAGACTCGCTTATTCCAAATACACTACCGCACTGGAGCTTTTCACCTTGAAGAACTTACAAGGTCTAGTTGGATAATACTTGATTTGTGCGCTGGGGTGCAGTGACTGCGCATCGTGCTCCTACTGGCTACAGCTAATGATGACCGAATGAGGAGTTTTCAACGACTCTCGGAAATAACTGGG